GGATGTTTAGTATAGTAAGTTTTGAGGAAAGGTAGAAAAAAAAAAATGAAAAAACACCAAATGTGTGTAATATTTTGAAGAAGATAAAGAAAAGGTAATAAAAACCCAGAAATGAGGATATCAAGAAAAAAATGGAGGGGAGGATAAACCAGGTGGATGGTGAGAGGTTTTATCTTTTTTCATTTTTCTTTGATTATTTTGTATTGAGGAATGGTGTTTGTTTGTGTATGTATTTTGCTTATTTTTTCTAAGAGAAAGTACTTAGGTGGGCACTAAAATAGGGGAAATATGTGTGAGGTGTTTGGAGTTTTGGGTGGACACCTATCAATTTTTTTAAAATTTATATTAAAAGGGGCAAAAGTTTGTGTCACTCTTCTTACTAACTAGTGTATATCCCGTGCGATGCACGGACAGGCTTGTTACTTAAAATTCTTTTTTAAAATTTTATCTTAAATATAATTATTTATATTTAACATCACGTTGCAAGAAAAAAAAATAGAAAGTATACAAAAATCATATATTTATTTATTTGGATATAATGAGTCTGCACAACCAAATCAATAACATCTAACGCGGGCTATATGATAAATGCACCGTCATGATTTTAACTGATATAAACTGTTTTTTTTTTCAAACATTTTTATTTCATTTATTGTACATGTAGTACGAATTTTCTTAAATGTGAAATTCCTATATTTAAAAAAAAGATACATGACATTAATGTGATTATTGTAATCAATTAGTAAAAAATTGAGATAAACAAATTTTATAAATAATTTATAAAATAAAAGTTGATTTGTAAGATAAAAAATTGAGATAAACAAATTGTTAAACAAATTTTGTTCAATTAAGCTGTGGAGTAGATTTTTCCTTTAAAAAAATGATTGGTAAGATGAGAAATAGAGATGAACACAAATTAGTAAGAGAAACATGGACACAAATTGATTTTCCAAACTTAAAAATATACAAATTTTCGAACGTATAAATAAAGTGATGTGGGAGTAACCAACGGATTTTTGCGCGAGATTTTCATATGTTAATCTTTATTGTTTTAAGTAAATTTTTATTCTTATTATATATTAATAGATTATTTTTTTTAAGTAAATCTTTATTCTTATTAAATATTAATAGATTATAATTCAAAACGGATAAAGAAACTAAGTCCATATTTAAATTGTCCTCTCTTCCAACTTCAGAACAAAATGCCACGAAACTACAACTGCTTTCTCTCACCCAAAAATTTCTATCGAAAAATTTGGATCGTTTTCTTCACGCACTATCGTTCTAGATGTAAAAAAAAAATCCAAAAAATAACGCCAATTTCATGGATCAAGATTTGTCACGCCCGCCGGTGTCCGACCAACATGATGTTGCGCCTTGGCCACGTGTCCAGTTCGGCCAGCAACTTGGTCGGCGTTCAACCATGTCCGACCAAGTCTGAATGCTCCATCTTGTATTCCATTCAGCTCGCTCAAGAAATACACACAATCTGTCGAACAAAGTTTCAACACTCAATTTCTTATAAAAGAACCATAAAAATATTATTTAATTGTTTTTAAATTCACCTGCTGCCCGTGGTTTGACATAAAGCCAGTAGTCGATAATTCTTTCATATTTGCATAAACTAAAGGATACCTAAAAGGTGACCGGTGATAAACCAGTTCACAAAAACTTTGAAAATGATTTACATAATTTTTTTCACTGTTAAACATTGAAAAAGAATATCTCAATAATAATAAGAACTTTAAACACTGGATACCCAGTTCGACCAAGCATCCAAGAGTGCTTGGTCTTGGATCCAATTAGGCTTTACATTCCGTGGACTGCCCGACAAAAGGGGATAGAGCTTATTTAAAAAGATCGTGTTACTTAAAAGTGTCAGGTGATTAATATCAAGTCATTTACCTGAGTGAAAAATAGAATTTCCTTGCTTGATGGATAGAAACCTGAAGTAGTCCCTCCATATAAGTTCAACAACACACTGGAGGAAAGAACAAAAAATAGAAGAAAAAAGTTTACACTAACAACATATTTTACAGAAAGTTATCAGACTATCTAATTCACAATTATAAGAGTATAAGAGGAACACCTTTTTACCAATGTTCTAAATAGGGGATGAAACAATACGAACCAATAGGTAGAGTCATTTTCTTCTCTCAACTTTTCATATCTTTTCACCTAAATAAGTTAAAATTTTATCAGCATCAGAGTTTCATAAACAAATCATGTTTCTTAATGTGGTACCATTCAGCTCGCAAGGCTATGTCTACTCAGGCGACCTTCAATATGAAAGGGCCAGCACGATGTTGCCGAGTCCATCCGCCTTCAGCAGCCTTGCACCAGAATTTCGGTCAGGCCCTCTAAACCACCAGCCCGGCCGCAAGCATCCAACAGCCATGAAAACCGGTCAGCACCGCCGTGCGGCCGTCGAGAAGAAGTCGGCTAGCTTGCTTCATTCGCGACCAACCCTCTCCTGCCATCAACAACTTCTTGAAGGAAGGAGAAAAATCAGACATTACATAAATGTAAAGATACAGTTCTAAAAAAAGGCAGAAAAACAGAGCAAAAGTTAAACTAAAAAACCAGAGAAAATCAAAAGTTACAGGGCGAGACCGGTGAATAAACAGACCACAGGTTAATCCTCGTGACGGACTCAATATCTAAATCGACGTCTTGAATACTTTGGCGCAGGTCGCCGGAGCCGTCGAGGTGGTGCCGAAAGTTGTCGACTGCTTATCGAGCGCAACGTGGCGGGGTAAGGGGGCACGTGGGAGCCACTCCCGTCGCTAGCAATTGAGCTTATGGTGGAGAGTCCACCGGCGGCGCGCCACGGGAGGAGGGCAAGGGGGAGTCGCGGTGGGGATTAGGGCTTATGGGGAGGATGGGAAAGAATCACAAAATCCCGAATTAAACAAGAATTTTGGTTAGATAAATAAGCAAGATTTTATTTTCAAATTTCAAAAAAATTCAAATGGAATTGAAATCGAATGATATTTTTATCCACTTAAATCGGAGAAAAATAATCCAAATGGTATGCATATTAAGACTCCTACAAAATTGTATCAATTTGTTAAGGAATGTCAATCACTTTTGTGATAAAGATAATGTTGCAAAAAAAAAAAAGGAGATTGTTATTATTGAATTTATAAGTAATTTACGATTACGATTACGATCATAATAATTCTAGGAAATTATGTACAACTTTGTGAACAAATATTTTCCTTCAAAGTCGTATCAATCTGGTAAGGAATGTCGATCAATTATCGTTGAAAGTTTGTATCAATTATGAAATTTGTGAAGAAATAAGATCCCACAAAATCCGGTAATATTTTTTAACAAAATTAGAAATGGTGATCCCCCAAAATCCGATAAAATTGGTTAACAAATTTCCAAAATGCAAGGATGGATGGATCAGTTAGTTACGTGTTTTATGTTATTCACTACTCATTAATTTTATGTTAATTAATTAAACTGTGTGGGACCTACATATTGTTTAACAAATTTCTAAAATGCAAGGATGGATGGATCAATTAGTTATGTTATTTATGTTATTTATTAATCATTAATTTTATGTTAATTAATTAAATGTGTGGGACCTACATGGTTATTTCTTAATGTAGTAATAATTACTTAAAGTAGTAAGTCAACACTTTATTTTTTTAAGTCAAACATACTATTTTTGTATTTTTCCAACAACCTCTTTATATTACTATAGATTTGGGTTTGAATACACTTATATGTATTCTTGATTCTTATCCATGGAGTAAATAGGGAG